GGGGACAGGGTGGCAGGGAGGTGCACAGGCTGTCTCTCCCCCCCCCCACCCGCCCCAGCTGACTCCTGGATGGCTTGGTGGGCTGAACAGCAAAGGCTCCAGGCCCAGGAGCAGCAACACTTGTTGCAGGAATTAGCCAAGCAACAGACGCAGCTTATGGAGCAGGTTTTCACTGCCCAGCTCCAGAACCAAAGCTCGTTGCTTCAGCAAGTGCTGGGGGGACTACAAAGCCCTCAAGCTGAGACCTTGGTAGGACAGATGAAAGGAAAGGAGCCCCAGCAGGGCCCTTAATATCCATGCCAGTTATAGGGGAGCCCTTCGAAAGGATTGGGGTGGACTTGGTAGGGCCCTTGGAAAGGTCAGCCTGGGGACACCAATATATTCTAGTGATGATTGACTACACAACCCGCTATCCTGAGGCCATGCCTCTCAGGAGTACTTCAGCTTGGGTGATTGGCCAGGAGCTATTAGGGGTCTTTGTCCAGGTGGGCTTTCCCAAGGAAATTTTGACGGATCAGGCCACTAATTTCATGAGCCAGGTGCTGAGACAGATGTGGGACCTGTTGAGAATAAAGCCCTTACACACCACAGTTTATCATCCTCAGACCAATGGTCTAGTGGAACGTTTTAACCAGACCCTTAAGCAGATGCTTAGAAAGTTTGTGTCGACCTACCCACGACAATGGCATGTTTTGTCAGGGCCCTTGATGTTTGCAATACGGGAGGTGCCTCAAGCCTCTTTAGGATTTTCGCCATTTGAGCTGCTGTACGGACGGCACCCCCGGGGAATTCTAGACCTGGTCAAGGAGCATTGGGAGGCGTCAGCCCCAGAGCCCACCTCCACCCTCCAGTATGTGCTGGATATGAGGAAACACCTCACTGACCTCGCTCAGCGGGCCGAGAGTAATTTAAAACAGGCCCAAGGAGAACAGCAGTACTATTACGATCAGCACATCCAGCCCCGGACGTTTCAACCTGGCCAGTGCGTTCTCCTACTCCTGCCCATGGGTTTGTTTGCGCGGTGGCAGGGGCCTTACGAGGTTGTTAGGAGGGTGGGGCCAGTGGACTATGAGATACGCCTCACAGATAGGCAGTGCTCAACCCAGATTTACTATGTAAATCTACTCAAGGCCTGGAGAGAAAGGGAGAGTACCAGTCATCAGGCGGACTGCAGAGCTGAGTCACCCGAGGCGCAGGCATTAGCCCCTGGGCAGTTATCTCCTGATCCACAACTAACACCCGCTCAAGTAGCACAAGTCAGGGCCTTGGAGGCAGCATTTACGGAGGTCTTCTCTGATCGACCTGGGCACACGACGGTCGTAGCCCACCATACACAAACAGTCCCAGGGGCCCTTGTCAGGGTGCCAACACGGCCCTACCCACCACGATTGAGGCAAGTGATAATAGAGGAAGTAAGACGGATGCTCTAATTAGGAGTCATTGAGGAATCAGTGAGTGCGTGGAGGAGTCAGCCGGTCTTGGTTCCCAAGTAGGATCAGAGTGTCCGTTTCTGTGTTGATTTTAGGAGGGTCAATGAGGTATCAAGGTTTGATGCTTACCCCATGCCCCGAATAGATGGGTTGCTGGATCCTCTGGGGCAAGCCCATTTCCTTTCAACCTTGGACCTCACTAAGGGGTATTGGCAAATCCCATTGACTGAAGAGTCCAAAGAAAAGACAGCCTTTGCCTCGCCAGTAGGGCTATTCCAATTTAAATATATGCCCTTTGGGTTACATGGGGCAGCCGCAACTTTCCAGCAGCTTATGGACAAGGTCTTGGGACATTTGTCCCATTGTGCTGTGGCTTATATTGATGACATTGTCATTTTTAGTCGTACCTGGAGGGAACATCTAGACCACCTCCGGCAAGTTTTGGTGGCTCTAAGACAGGCTGGGTTGACAGCTAATCCAGGCAAGTGCAGAATAGCGCAACAGGAGGTGCAGTATTTAGGGTATATTGTAGATCATGGGCAGATATGGCCCATGGCAGATAAAGTGGAGAAGCTAAGCCGGTGGCCACGGCAGCGCACCAAGAAGGAAGTACAACAGTTTCTGGGCCTGGCCAGCTACTATCGGCGATTCATCCATCATTTCTCCTCCAAAGCAGCCCACTTGACAGAGGCACTTAAGAAAAGGCAAAGTCGTGCCCTGGTATGGACTGAGGAGATGGAACAAGCTTTTGAAGAACTGAGGACCTGTCTCCTCAGTCAACCTGTTTTACGGTCGCCAGATTTCTCCCATCCTTTATCCTCCAAACCGACGCCTCAACTGTGGGCTTGGGAGTGGTTCTGACACAGGGGGAAGGGGCAGCTGAACATTTGGTACTCTACTTGAGCCGTAAGCTGGAGCCACGAGAGTGCCGGTACTCCACAATAGAGAGAGAGGCTTTAGCTGTCAAATGGGCTGTTTTGGCTTTGAGACACTACCTCTGGGGTGCCCCACTCACGTTGGTCACCGACCGCGCTCCATTACAATGGCTAAGTAGGATGAAAGATGACAAGCCCTGCCTCACTCGTTGGTATCTAGTGTTGCAGCCATATGCCTTTACGCTTCAGCACAGGCACGGTTGCCAACATGCTAACGCTGATTTCTTTTCTCGCCAGGGTCCTTGGCCCTTACACGAAGATGGTGATCCCCTCTTTGAGGGGGGGATATGTGAGGAGGCAGAGGGGCTCACCCCTTTCCCTGGGGCCTTCCACAGGGCCAGGCTGAAGACAGCAGGGCGGGGCTGGGAGCCCAGGTGGGGAGAGCACTTTGCTGGGAAGCAGCGGCCAGGGGATACGAATGCGTGCGCAGCTGTACGGCATCGCGGACCGGGGCAGGGGCAGCTGGGCTGGGTGGAATGGTGTGCGAGGAGGGATGATAAAGAGGCGGCAGGAGAAGGAAAGGGGGAAGGAGAGAGAGACGGCGAAAGACGGCAAGCAAGCAGAGAGCAGAGAAACACACGTGCGCTTGAGGCAGAGCTGCAGTGGCGGCCGCTGGCAGGGAGGCCAGGACGAACTGCAAGCAGAGACTGGGCAGCGGTACAGCCGGGACGGCGCAGCTCATTGCCATAGTGACAAGGGGGAAGGGAACTGGAGCAGGCAAGGGCAAGGTGCTGTGGGAAGTGTGTGGTGGAAACTGTAAGCACAGGATAAAGTGAGTGCAACGGCTTTCTTGTGTTGCTTTGCATGGAGAAGCCGGGAAGGTGAGGCTTTGGCCCGCAGCCCCCTCCCGAAGCGGTCACACCATACAAAGAACAAATCTGCGTTGCTGAACTCAGTTGTCCATGAGCCAGATGAACTGTGTACTGAAACTAGAGGCATTATTATGGAAGAATACAAAAAGACAGTCTTGTAGCCAAATAAAAGAAAAAGCCTAGATGGCTGACAAAAGAAACACTCACAAATGATAAGGGCAGACCAACTGAAAGACAAATAACTTGGTGGAGCCAAGGCAAAACTCCCTGGAGAAGACAAACCATGCTAGGGAAAGTCAAAAGCAGAAGTAGTGGAGGACCAGCTATGAGATGGTTTGATCCCATAAACAAAGCCACAGCTTTGACTGTGCAAAATTTGAAAAGGGCTGTGAAGAACAGAACATTTTGGAGGACACCCATTAATAGGTTGGAGGTGACTTGACAGCATGTAACAATAAGAAAACTGTTTACTCTTTTCAAAGAGCTTACATTTTGTTCTGTTAACACACAATAAAAATTAAATAGAAAAAAATGAGAAAGCCTAATACCTCTGTCAATCCAGATCATGTTTTTAAATGTTTGTACAAAGCAATACATTCGTTGATTTTGATTGAAAATATCATTAAATTGAAGAATACTGCTATCTAACTTCCTGTTGAGGTTTCCAGTAAAGGAAGCAGTTATAGGAGTCAGGCACTTTGCAAAACCTGGACTACTAGATCCATCCAACAAATTGAGTAGTTATTTCAGTCTGCCCATAAATACTAGTGCAGAAGAGAGTTGCATTTCTAAATTTCTTTCATACCAGGTCTTGGGAAATAAATAACCTTAAGAGACAGCCATTGACCAACAACTTCAAAGAAATGGAAATTGTCCAGAATGAAGACAAAATGGGGGATCAAAGCTCAGAGGACGAGAGGTCAGCCTGGAGGCTAAGGCAGCATTGGCAAGTTCAGTTCTGTTCTCATGATATATTCAGTCAGTGGAGTATAGAAAATCAGCTTTCTCAACCGTTCTCTCTACTATAAAATATCTACACACCAGCCAAGGATTTAAAATGGATTAATACTCTGACTGTCAACACATTGATTAAATAGAGTTGTGTGTTCTCGAAATGTTTGCATTAATAATCCGGTATCAATACACATTATATATAGATGTGTGTGTATGTGCAGTGAACTGAAGATAGTGCCATATACACAAACACACACTTAAAATATAATAAAATTCTGACAAGGTCAGAATGTTTTCCTGTATACTAATAGCAAACTTGGCCGCTAATGTGGACCTTTATGTGACCCAAACAGCCCCTTCTGTGGATGGGGGAGGCTTGAGCAGGGATCAAGGTACTCCAGAGTTAATTGAAGTTCACAAGAGCATTTAGACATCAACTCTGAAAAGTGTGAAGAATGCAGTGAAGACAGAGCATACTCAGAGGATGCAAAATGCTGGCTCAGTGCTGCTGATAGAAGGAGAGAAAACTAGGAAAACTGGAATGGGGTGTCCTGGAATCGGGCAGAGCTAGCTGGCACCCCGAAACTGCAACATACTACTTGCTTGGACTACAAGGAAATTCCTGGAGGCCTCACCTCTTTCCTCCCTTCTTTAAAACGTCTAACATTGATTCTACAATAGCACTTTGAAATTACAGCATGTCTGTACGGATTTATGCAAATACATACAATTGCATAACTGCTTTTACATAATCTGGAGGATTTTGAGGCTGGTTAAATGAAAAAAAGTTATTCTATTGAAACACATACCTAATGATCAACGGATTTTTCTCTAACTCTTCTTCTCTATGGCAACAGCAACAGCAAAGTTTGTACCAGAAATCCATCCTCACTCTTTTGTAAATGTTGTAGCCATTAAGATATTTCTGTGACCTGCAGAGCAAATACAGCAAAAATAGAAGAGGGAAAAAATCGATAGGGTGGTTGTTACCTCATGTAGCAAAGGAGCTAAGAGGAGGCAAAAGAGTCAAAATTCTCTTTAAATGTTATCTACAAGTCATATGCAGGGATCATGTGAGATCTTTCTTCCATAGCTCCAGGCCTTTAAACAAGATACAGGGGACCTAAATCAGTGTATTGAGACCTTGTTGTCTATCTGGAAAGAAAAGTATGCTTTAAAAAAAAAAAAAAAAAAAAGAGCTCACAGGAATAAAGAAAAGTTGTATGGTTCTGCATACTCTCATGAAAGCAAAGAACAGGCACCTGGAAGGAGAAAGAACAGAACTAAGACATTTTAATTCTGGCCTATTTTGTTCTCACAATGACTTCGTCAGCTTAGTTGATAGGCTGAGAACTGAGGCTGATCATTGCCATTGAGGTTGGACTGAGAAGGAACTCTGAGCTGGGTATTGCCATACTAAGCTGGGTATAGTGAAGGCTCCCATCCCAAGGGAAATGCCAAAGGGGAGATGCCAGAGCATTCTCTTCCTTGCAGAGGTTCATGAAAATACCTGGGCAGCAGGGGACATATTAGCTAGAAGATGCTAACTTCAGAAGCAGGGAGGGAGGGATGCTAGGCCTAACCAAGGTGGTTCACTGGCTTAGGCAAAATGGCCAATGGCACCAGCTCCTTTCATCCTGAGTGGGTATCCAAGCCCTGTCAGATTTTAAGAGCATAAAGAGCAGCCCTGCTGGGTCAAGATCAAGGGTCCATCTAGTTTGCACAGTGCTCAGCCAGCTTATTGGGAACCCACAAGTATGATAGGAGTTTGATTCATGTTTCCCAGCATACTGTCTCTGATACTGGAAGTAGCTTGCAGCCACTGAGAGCCTTCTCCTCCATTAATTTGCCTAGTACAGTTTAAAGCATCCAAACCGGTGGCCATCACTGCATCCTGTGGTAATGCATTCCACAAATTGTGTGCTCTGTCAGTTGGTACTTCTTTCTACTGATTTTGAATCTCCCATCAACCTACTTCATGGATAACCATGAACGTTCAAGTATTACAAGGCATACCTCTGCCCACTTTCTCCACACCATGTATAATTGTATAAGCCACTTATCATTCTTTTCTTACCATTTTGGTAAACTACACACTCCCGGCCACTGTAACATTTCACTATAGGGGACTTCCTCCAGCCCTTTGATCATTGGCATGACTCTGGTATTGGACGGTATATAAAAACTTTAAATCAATAAATAATATAATAAATTCTGGTCACTCTTCTTTATATTCTTTCTCGATGTGGTGCCAGAACTGTACAAAGCATGCCAAGTATGGTCAAATGACAGATTTATATGAGGGAATTATGATACTGACAACTTTCTTTCCTTCCTAATTATGGAAATAGAACTTGCCATATTCACAGGAGCAACATCCACTGCAACCTCAAGGCCTCTTTTTCGGTTGCTCACCATTAACTCAAATTTCATCACTGTATAAAGTGACGTTGCATCACTGGACACTTTCTCACACTGAGCTACATTTGCCATTTTAAGGCCCACTTGCCTGTTTAGCAACATTATTTTGGAGCTCTTTACATCCCTTTTCATTTTAACCACTACCAAATTTGGAGTCATTAGCAAATCCGGTCCATTCGTTGTTCACCACGAATATATTTTCATTTATAAACAAATTAAAAAACACTGTTCACACTACAGACCCCCACTCATTTCATCCCCTCTTCCACTTCTTTGGTACCCAAGGGAGAAAAAAATTCCCCCCAGGCCCCCTCCCTGCTTTCTAGCACTAAAATATTGACAAGTTATAGACACGTCACCTGTGAGTTCTTTAATATTCTGGGTGCCATAAACACTTGTATGTCATATAACTCTCTTCCCTTCCCTTTTAATTTCCACATGCAATAAACTCATGGGGTAGATGAGGCAATTCATTCTCTTAACACCAGCTCCCACAAGTCTGTTTGTGTGGACAGACCTTCAAAACGGCAATCTCACAGTTCTCAATGGAAGCAGGCCATTCCTGTGAGCAGATCTTAATACAAATCCGAAGCCAGCACTGTACAGGAGCCAACTCTCCATCGGAGATTGCTGTATGGGAACAGCAAACTGCTTCCCATGGCAACACGGGTGGCCATGTTTACTGTTCTTGCTGCAACGCATTGAGTCTTACAGCATCTTACGCAAGAATACATTCATCACAGCGTAACCTTTTTTTGCATGTTAGACTTCAAGGTGCCAAAAGACCCTTGGCTGTTCTAGTCTTACAAGAAGGATGGTACAGTAAAGCACCTGTCACATGGGCCCATGAGGAAAAGGACATAGGATGGTGCTGTATCCCCCATATAATGGCAGAGAAGCAGGAGCTGCCTAGAGAAGCAGGTTCTGCAGTGAAGATATAATAGTGGGGTTTTTTAAAATTTCATTTTGATCTTAGGATGGAAGAATTCTTTGCTGGATAGAGACTGGGGAGTGAAAGAAAGGGGTAGTCCATACTAGAAAGAAGGACACACAAAGCTGAGGGAAGTTCTGTTACATTTTATTAGATTGAGTCAAAAGATTTAATGCAAAAGGCAAATGTGTTATTCAAGTGGCTTTTTAAATGAGGGGTGGACATCCACCCCCGTACACATGTTAAAGAAAATAGTTCTGTGCATTAGATTCACAGTCAAGTCTCTCTTCATGGTCCGTTTGAAACGCTTATAAACAATCCAAGGCGCTTTTAACAAGATTAATGGCTGCTTCTTAGAATGGGGTCCCCTGCTAATCTCTCTTGCTGGCATGAAATATAATAAAACATCCTGAGAGTCAAATGCTCTGAATCACAAGACTCAAAACAAAACCAAGGGAAAAATATTAAAAAAACAAAAAAAGCACTTTCCCATTCCTAGAAGTCCATCATGATGTCTGGAAAGCAAACTGTGCAGCTTCTTGCATGGCCCACCCACCCTAACCAGATGGAGGGACTCCACTTGCTAGAAGCTCTAAGATGCAAGACATACAAGTGCAAGAGAAGGAACTTGCTGGAAGGGAGGGAGCAGGGCCTTTCAGGGCAGTGGGTGGGAAAGCAGCATGCCAAGTATTCTCAAGTGCTGAGAAGCAAATTGCCCTAAAGGCTGCAAGAAAAGGTTCGGCAGACATTTCTGTAACCCCAATGTCAAATAAGCCGGGCAAACAGGTTGCTTGACCAAGATACCTGATGTGGAATATTTTTGAACAGAGTTTTTGATTAGTCCAAGATTCTGAAGTCTTAAAAACATGTGAATTGTTTACGGAGTCATCTCCCACATGATGCCTATTTGTTCAACACTTTGAAAGATGGCAGATATTTGGACCAATGATTCTGGATGGTGGATAATTATTCTTCCGAAGTGCAGTCTAGTGAAGGTGGCTAGGTGCAGGCTAGTAGCAAAGAGACAGGTGGAACACCATCACATGCTTTTGTGCCACATCATTTGTCATGGCAAAAGCTATAACTCAGTAGATTTTTTTTCTTTTATGCCATCCTAGCAGCACAACAGCTTTCTCATGGTGCAAACCTGCCAATCTCAACCCAGTCTTCATTTCCCCTCCTCTGCAATGAATTCTCCTTCCTTTTTCCATGTGTGAACCCAGCAGATTAGTTGTGTCAGGAATATTGCACTTAGGCCAGCCTCCCGCAACCTGGTGCACTCCAAATGTGTTGACTACTTCCTTGTATCACCAGTACCTTGGCTTCCCTACCTGTGTATGAAAAGTGCTTAAACTGACATAGATTATGGATCTGGGCTTCAATTACAAAGATTTCTGGTCTACTCTAGTAGGACGGAAAATCATAATTAATTCCAGAAAATGTCAGTCACTGTAAAAGGGGCAATTTAGTCTGGCAGACAAGATCATTTCAGTCTCTGTTACTGAAAGGAGAAACTAGAACGATAACATGATCAAACTGGGTCAGTAGTATGTTCAGCAGAGATGTGTGCCACTGAATTCGAAGTTCTTAACAGGCCGCAGCAGATTTTAGTTCCTCTAGCAGTCATGTCTTCAAGGATATGACATCCAAATCTCATGCATACACTCCAAGATGCAACTTCAGCTTTGCTAAGCGCAGAGTCTTTCAGGAAGGTGGGCATTGCCAGCTTGAAAAATGGCCTGGCTTAGCTTGCTGCAGTTCAGCCAATCATTGCATATACAGGGTTAAGTGATACTTGGCTATGGAAGGCATTTGGATGAATTTAAGGACAAAGTCTGAATCAATACGATCACATCCAAGAAGAGGCGGTGGTGGAGAACCAGCAACAAAAGACAGACACAGGACTACAGAGGTAAGATTCTGGAAGTGCCTTCAAGAAGAAATTTGGCACATCCTAAGCCAGGAAAGGCTCATGTTGTAATAGCAGTATTAGCTTTGATCATCCGCAAGACACTTGAAGATGCCACCTTGGTGCTTCTCTCCGATTTGTTCTGATTTGAATCACCTGCTGTCACATCTCCCTTTTACCATTTGATCTTCTTCAGCCCTTTAATTGTTCGACATCCTGAAGACATGGCAAAAGGCCCTTCTTCATTACTCTGAAGGTCAGCCATGAGCTATGATCTCCTCTGACAGGAAGAACAGAGACTCCAGTTCTTTGGACCTTATTGGGCTCTAAGCAAACAATGTCAGAGCAAAGAATTTGGAGAATTTATGACCTTGCTGTGACCTCCATAACTCTTTTGCGCAGGTGGAAAACAAACTCTGTCATAGTGGCACCCAAGCTTTGGTTGATGAGGTATCGGGGAAGCCGACCCTACAAGAAAAAAGCAGATTAAGTTAGAGGATCAACTTCAAGTTAACCTGTAATATGAAGCTGCATTGTTCCATCCACCCCAGTACTGCATACCCGAACTGGCAGCATTCTTCCTGTGTCTCAGGCAGAGCGGTCTTTCCCAAACACACTGCTCAACACCCTTGTCATCACTGAGTGAACCTGGGGCCTTCTCCGTGGAAGGTCTATGCTCTTATTAGAATGGGCAGCTGAATTAAATATAGAAAGCCCTGCAGTCAGTCTAGCAATCCATTCTCAGCAGTCTTGTCTGCACCTGCTGCAGTGGTTCCCCAAGGTTTCAGAGAGTTTTCCCTAAATTTGCTGGGACATGCCTGGGATTCAGTCAGGAACATTTCGCACACAGTTATGACCCCTCTTCGTAAACAGGGTTAATTGTTTACTTACCTAATTTCTACACAGCCCAATAGCCCAGGCTCTCTGGGCAGTTTACAACAGCACATTAAAAATACAGTATAAAATACACCATATTAAAACATCATTTAAAAGCTTACTATACAAAATGGTATTAAATGTACGTATGCATTTTATATTCCATGATCTTTTACATAGCAGCTCCAGAGAAGGGAGAAGCAGAGGCCCACAGTTTGAGGAAGAAATAATTTTAGAAAACTCCTTTTCCCTTTGCTCTGGTCCTGATAAAGCTGGTATTTTCCCCAGGCAGGAAATTTACATTCATGTAGGCAACTATCTGTGCAAAGTCTAGGACAGGAGAGCAAAAAGATGCCCCTGCCAGGCAAGCTGGATTAACAACAACTTTCCCTGAAAAACTCAATACAGAATTTTCACCTTCACCCCTTTTAGAGACTCAATCAGCAAACATGTTCAACAAAGTTTACAAGCATACAAATGTTCCTAACTATATTTACAGCTTTCCTGAAATTGCATTAACTGTTTTCGCTATTGGGCCAGAGAGAAAACCATGAAACAAGGAACTGCAGAATGGAGAAACATCTGAACTGGACCAGCCAGCATGATGCTTGCCTCCTCATACAAGATTCCCCCCATTTGCCCTTCTCTTCATTACGCTTATGCCTTCGAAGTTCTTCTGGCAAAAGGAGATGTCTGAAGCAGCAAGATAACTCAAGGGAGTGATCCTGTTGCCTTCTCATAGGGACCACCACTCACTGATGTCTTCCTGTGATGGACATTTTAAGATCTGCCTTCCCTAACCTGGTACCCTCTTCCATCATCCCCAGTCAGCAAGGCCAGGATGCTCTAGCAAGAGGTGGCACTGCTTGTATTTTTCCCAGTGCTGGCAATAACACTTCACCTTTTATATTACACTCTTGGTGAAAGAGTTGATTGCCAGTCTTAACATGCCCAGGCCAGCAATGCAGCATTACTGGATGGGCAAAGACTGCTAGCAGCTTTGCCCAAGGCATCCCACAGTTCAAACAAATGGCCAGAATTCAAACAAAGTGCTTCATAAAATGCAGCTCTCAAGGACTATGCTGCACCAATTCTAAACCAGTGTTGTGGTCATTAAATCAACTCTGTACTGAGAACAAGGGGACAAGTTGTCACACCTGGCATAAAATCAAATATTGGCAAGCTTTTCTTCAGGAACTGAACCCTTCTTAGGCTTAAAAGAGAAAAATTGGGACTAGGATTTTTTATTCTGTTTAGCAGAAAGGCATTTTGCAAGATGCATATCTCAAAGTGAGTTTGCTTATGTAACTATTGTGGAGTAATACAATGAAGAGCATTTCAGAAATATCTGTGCATTATTTTTCTCTGTTCAATGCCCTTTTTCAAATCTCATCAGATCCAAGGTTTAAACTGGGTACCCCTGCTAGAAAATCTAATTAATTTCTCTTCTGGAGGAACAGAAACCGTCTCCCTACCCTGGACAGCTCTGTTTAAAGCTACCTGATACACCTTGACCTGCTGCTTTACTCATGGGGATGCTGGAAAGAGAGGTTTAGATGCTGCAGCACCATAAGAGCTAATCCAGGTCTGAGAAAAGGTCATGAGAAAAACTCTAACCAACACCAGGTCCCAGCAGTTCCCGGCTATCACCTCCTTGTTTTGAAACAACCAAAGCAAAGGAAAGGGATGTGCGGGTTTCTAATCTTAAGCCCATTTGTCTCACCCTCAAATGCCAAATGACCAAGTGTGCTTTACCTTGAGGTCTGTGTTTAGTATCCAGATCAAGGTGCAGAGGTGAGGATTGGTGGGGCACCGCAGGGCAACAAAACCTCCTGGACCGTTCTCTGCTCTGAAATAGCCAACAGCAGAAAAAATGTCACAGCAGAAGGAAAAAGGGAGGATCGCAGTTTAACGGCAGAGCAGCTATTACCTAGAAAAATTTAGCCGTCTTCCAAAAATGCGTGCTCCAGGCAATGTACACAAAAACAGCAAATATACACACCATTTTTCCTTAGGCTAAATAGTCAAACTTTGTTTCTAATGATACAGATTCAGAGGTACACACTAGGAGTTCCAGTTTCCACTACCTGCTACCTAAACCTCAACACAATGATGGTCCTAGAAAAGAAATGGGCAACTTGTGAGCCAAAGCATCTGGAGGCCACACCTCCCATCAGCCTTTGCCAGTATAAACAAAAGTGAGGAATGATAGGGCCACAAGTTGCCCACTGCCGCCCTAAAGGATTTCTTTAGGAAGAATGATCCAAAAATGTGGTGGTAAAAAGAATGCCCAACCACTCCAAGCACCATCCCAAAGAGGGTAACATATGAAGCAGGGCATTGTGGTATGGAGTGATTCAGGTCAGGCAGTGATGAAGAATGCGAGTCCCTCCAGTTGTTACTAGAACACACCTTCCAGCAGTGCCAGCCAGAATATATGTTTAGGATAACAGGAGTTGTTGGTCTGTAACACCTGGACTGCCACACATCCCCCATTTCTGATTCAAGAGAATCACAGGTGTACTGGGCCCAGGCCAGGCCATTAAGGTCTTTAGGCATCATTGCCAGGTGTGTACACATGCTGCAGTTCTGTGTAGGTAAAGAATGCAGTACTGGAAGGTTTTCCCCCTGCTGCTGGTTGCCTGTTTGCTGTCACTTATACGTTGTGCTTGTGTATTTGTAAATGAAGCAAGTATTAATAAAAGAGGCCTGGTTTGCGTGGTCACAGTGGCTTGTTTAAGCCATGGAACATTCTGGAAGCCATAAGCTTAATTATCCACCCCCACCCAGCTGACAGTGTCATCCAAACCCTGGCAGCATGGCTTGTCGGAGGGGAAAGCAACCTTCAAATAACCCATGGCCTGTGTTTGGGTTGTCTGAGGGCAGTTTCTCCATCCAGCAGACTATGTCACCTGGGCTTAGGGAACCCTACAAGTCACACTGATCCATAAACTCTGGGCATGTAAGTTACCAGCATTCTTTCATCTGAGGGAAACAAACCCCAGTGGGGCTGCCAAGGAAAATGGTGGGCTGTAAAGACCACTCAGCAAGAGCAGAAGGAAAGAATGGTGAAGCTACTTATCAATTGTACAAAGATAATTGTTGGACCAGAGGCAAGGGAAAGATGTCAGTCCTGCCTGCCTAAGACTCTGCTGACATTAGGTGCAGAAAGCCTATTTTCAAACATTTCTCAGATATTTGAATATTGGAAATCTAATCTTCTTGAACAAGAGAAAGAGACAAGACAGACTATATTCCATAACATGCTTTGATGTGTGAAATGGACGTTGCCCTTCTCAGATTGTCCCAACAGCTAGGTAGACACTGAGCTAAAGGCCAATGACTTTTTAATGCTATTACTCAGAAAAATGAAGGTGGTGAGCAAAACTGCCTTGGCTGGTCACCTGAGGCAGAGGCTCTGAGAACAACAAAAAGGCTTTGTTGGGAGATGCTCCGGCAGGAGGCCTTGCCCATCACAAGACAGCGGCTGTGAGCTACAGACAGAGCAGACATTCAGGAAGTGGAGCTGAACAGAGACTGTATAGTGGACACTTCAGCACCCCAGATCGCTCCTAAAATCAAGGCTTACTGAATGCTGCTCACGCCAAAGTAGTGTGCGTGTGTGTACAGATAAATTCCGGAAACTATAAGCATTCGATCATGGCTGTGCAATGAGTAGTTCTGAGATGCTAGTACATGATCCGAAAGCTTCTTTCAGATGACACTCTCCCAAGCTTTTGCCTTCAGATCTGTAGTACTCTTAAGAGGCTGTCTTACCCCCAAAGTCTGACTTTCATAGCAATCTCAGGCTGGTGTAAAAACAGAACATGGTATTTGTGCAGGTGTTCTGGATTGCTTCCCCATCACCTCAAAAAACCCCCTTCCCCCTTCAGATAATCACCAAAACAGAAGTCTGGCCACCTTTTATATGTACTCAGGAACTTTTAACAGGCTACGTTGCAGTGTAGATTTTAGTGTTTGCGATTATGAATTATTTCAAAATTGTCAAATTAATCCATTTATAATCAAAACCACGTAAGCCAGTCTGTGGTGTTAGAAGTAAGAGGATCTATTTGATGCTTTCCAATAGTAACAGGATTAACAGCCAATTTTTATTCAACTTTGCAAGCCTCATCAAGTACTTTGACTCATAGGACAAGCCTATTACAGCTTAATGGCTTAGAGTAATGGGTGTGCATTCAATTAACTGGGATCATTAATAATTTTAATAATCTTTATTTTTTAAAGGATTAAGTTTAGTAGATACAAGTAAGAGTTGCAATCCTTCCAGTACCATGTTATATAATATGAAAAGGCTCAGATTCGGGAGGCTGCCTTTCCCTGGAGTAGGTGCATGTCACAGAGAAAAAAATATTTTAATTTGGTTTTTACTGACCAACATATACTGGATCTATCCAGATTGTCTCTCTGACTATGTGGAAACCAGCACCGTACAATTTGGGGCAGCTTCATTTCACATGCATATTGGGTAACCTAAATTCCATATTAAAATGAATGATCCGATGCAGGTTTCATTGTTGTTGGAATCGCTCATGTACTTTTGTTTTGTGCCATATGCACTTTTGCTAAGGAGGAATGTTAACAGGTAACTTTTAACCAAAAAATATGCAAACCTTTAAATCAGGGGTCCTCAAACTTTTTCACAAGGGGGCCAGGTTGAAAGGTGCCACTGCTGGGCGCGGGCCGGAAAGGAGGTGCTGGCAGGGCATGCGGGCTGGCGCGGCGAGGTGCGGGTGGGCAGGCAGGCAGGCACACACGCAGCGAGGAGAGGCGAGGCGAGGCAAGGCGGGGGCAGGCACGCGATGCAGGGGCTTGCTTGCTTGGAGACTGTTTTCTCTGAGCGAATTCCAAAACGATCTCCACCTGAGCAAGCCACCGCCTCCCCATGCAGGGGCTGAGGTGGGCAGCGGCGGGAGTGTGGCACACGCACGGCGTGCTGGCACACGCGTGGTACGTGGGCACGTGCACGGCCCATGGAAAACCTCTGAGGCAGGCCGGAGAAATGGCCGTGGCTGGCCGGATCCAGCCCCCGGGCCGTAGTTTGAGGACCCATGCTTTAAATGACTATACACACCACATTTGTGTAGGCCAGGGGAGCCTGACGGCATGAGACATCAAGTTATCAACAGCGAGACTCTTATACCTGACATATTTGGAGGTAGGAGGGCGTGAGCTGTGGACTGTTGCCATCCCTGATGAAATGTACCGGTCTCTCCTCCTCTCAATCCGACGCACATTCACAAAATCCCTGGAAAGGCAAAGACAATGTTAACAACTCATGTAGAAAGAATAAGTGGTGGAGGACGTAGGCCAAGCCAGGACTGACCTTGGGGATACAACGCCGCCCACGGCACCAGCTGCCACATCATAGGATATAGATGTGTTATCGTCAACCCGTTGCAAGATCTGTTCAAATAAAGAAGAGTATATTTTACCAGCTCTACTGATACAAACCAGCTGACATCACTTTTTGAAATCAGCTGCTCCTTTATGGAATTCTATCTTGCACGGAGGCCAAGAAACTCTGGTGGCCAATTTCCAGGACCTTCACAAAAGCAATACCTGGAATTACATGGAAGATTCGGTGAAAGTGCTGGTTCAGTTTGATAGTGCAGATGGAGAAGACCGCGGGCAGTGTGAAAGATCGAGGGCAGCCTTTCCCAAGCTAGTGCCCTCCAGATGTGTTGGGTAACAACCATGATCATCCCCAGCCAGCAGCCTAGGGCTTTGTCATCAACTGACCCAGAACCAGAGGCTTCTTCCCAGCAGTAGCTCATGAATGTACAATCCACTCTGATTTTGACTGGACCCCCAATTTTGTACTCCTAAAATCTTTCCATATTTCAATTCTGTTTCAGCTAAAAGTGCAACTTCTCACACTCCATATACATCCCTCAAAGGCACATACAGGAAGCGGCCTTACAGGGCGGTAGAGAAACAGCAACCCATTTCTCAAAACAGTGGCACAGATGAAATTAAGCTCCGAAGTGGAAAAAGCAACCCAACACAAATCCTCAGCTTGTGGGGAGTTCAAGGAAGCAAGTAGCAGTTGAAGGACAACTGAGAGGCTTATTAGATTTATACCCTTTTTTTTCTTTTTTAAAGAGCAACTTACAGCATTCTCTTTCTCCTCCTTTCAATCTTATCCCCACAACCACCACCCTGTGCCGTAGGTTTGGCTGCAAGACTGTGACTGGCCCAGACTCACCCAGTTGGCTCCATGGCTGAGTGGAGACTAGAACCCACGTGGCCCGAGTCCCAGTCCCACACTCTTAACCACTGCACCACACTGGCTCTCATGTATCACCAGGCCCTACAACTATCACCAAGACAGAATCCACTTTAGCCCAAATCTTCCCTTCTACCATTAAATGGGGAAAGCAATTCATAGCAATGAGAAAAAGATGAAACAGACATCAGTCACGATTTGGAGACTAGGGAAATGAAGAGTCCCCTCTTAAAGTTATTTCTACCATTGGTAAGTCATTAGTAGATATAGGCAGCTCCTGTGTAACCACAGTTCTTTGAGGAGTTACCATGCAGAGCTGAACACTGTAGAGCCAAGGAGTGTTACGAGGGGAGCGTGATACACATGGCAGCCCAAGGAGTGAGGTGTTCGATTCTATGGCACACCTCTCAGTGAGAGTAAGAGGTGACTGGAAGGTCTTTGGTTTTGGATTGGTGGACGCTGTATAGTGTTGGTGGGGAGAGCAAGAGCAAGCCTAGTAATGGTGCCAGAATGGTAGTGGTACATTGCAAAGTGGAAGTGATGTGATTTTGAGGATGGTCAATAGGATCAATGTGAAGGTGACCAGTCTCTAGAAGATGACAGAGGTGGAGACAGAGACTGGTCTTAAAGAGGGTGGGAAGAGATAATGTGGGAGAGCCACTGGAGAGGGTCGTTTTGATATATGGACTAAGGGAGCTGAACTGGGACTCAGAAGATGCAGGTTCTGGTCCCCAGTTGGCCGTGAAGCTCACTGCCCCTCAGCCTAATCTACCTCACAGGGTTGCTGCCATAAGGATAAAATGGAGCTAAGTAAGTTGCCTTGGATCATCACAAGAGGAAAAAAAGGCAGGATAATACAAGGTCAGTTATTGCGATGATGATGATGATGATGATGATGATGATGATGATGCGCACACCCTTAATTACTGGAGGTAAAAGCAACAGCTTGGATCACAAGGGACTGATAGAGAAGCTTTCCTCAATTTTACCAAGGATAATAGTAGGCGTGGAGGATGATTCCAGAACATCTGCCAAGATGGTGAGATCATGAGGTTCATGGTATCTGCTGTGAGATCTTGGTTGAAAACTTGTGGGGTTTGCTTTGCTTCAGTTTCCCAGACCCCCAAGGGGTGGGACAAGGGAAACATGGTGCTTGGACTTAGATTCTGTAGGCTGTGTAGCAGCTGGTGATGACCCAGATATGGATGTTCACAGGAAGAATGAAGACCTGATTTGATGGTACCACAGCTGACCAGTCAGTCCAAGAATGACTGACAGTGTCATGGAGGCTGAAACACTCAAGTTTGGAGGAACAATAATTGAAAATGAAGCAAAATGACATTTCAGAGGTCGCATGAATGATGGTGTTAAAGACTTCAGCCCACAAAGTCTGCTCTCACAACTACAGACAGGGAGTGTGGCATGCCTGCTTTGTAAAGGCAAGAGAATGGTGGCCTGAATGAGACACAGAAGGTCGGAGTGGTGGTCAGATGGAGGCAGCTTTTTGGATGGGAAGTGAATTTTCTGAACCTTAAGGCCCAGGGGCAAATGAAATCTTAAAGAAAGAAACTGACACTAAAACAAAAAAGAAGGGGGCAAGGAACATGAAAATAAAGAAAACTCAATAGCTCTAATCTAATCTCCTCAGAGGATGTTCTTTGCAATGCTTTTGCTTTGGCAGTTGAAAAGGAACTGAGGAAGGTGAAGACTACATAACCGTGAGGAGGTGGGCAGAGCTCCCATCAAAACACTCTACAGTTCCAGAATGTTCTGTCCAAGCACTGCGTAGGCATAGAACTCATGTATGTTCTATGAGTGAAATATGAACAGCGACCATGAAATAGTAACTAACCATTACTTAGGTGACTAATTTGGAATCCTTACCTGGCATGCTAACAAGGTTTTATTCCACAGGACCATCTTTTCTGGTTGGAGAATCATCTCTTGGTAAATTATTTCAGCTGAACACTGTAAAACTGCCTGCAGGTGAGGGAGAATAGTTAATTGCACAAGCTTTTGGTAGGCCAGTCAAACCCCTCTCCTGAGGCTCATTTACAGCCTCTGGAAAGACAAACCCCAGGGGAGAAGGGCTCCAAAACGGTGCTGGAATTAATGAAGGCGAAAGGAAATTGAGCAGTGAGTTCTGACAAGGTTAAATACCACATGCCCGCAGTCAATTATTTTCACTTACCACATCCTCCCTAATCCCAGCAATTTAAAAAGTTTCATTTATGGCCTCTCAAGTGATAGCCTCCATATGAAGTATGAAATATAGTAGTGTTCCTTAGGAGAGTGCTTTCAGCCAAGTTGCCCCTCTTGGGCAAAATGAGTGGATGATGAACTGTTAGCTAGAAGCAAACTGACTCCCCCTGGGAAGAGCAATGTATACACACAAGATAGAGAAGTGTGTAGCAATTGCCCCATCCACCCAGTGCCCTCACCTCCAGGAGAAAGTTTTTGCTTTAAGTACAGTTCCCATCTGTCAGTCTGCAGCCCCATCTCTTTTAAATGAAGGTGCAAGAGATGAAGGGGGGGGGTGAGGCCGGGGGAGGCCAGGGGGAACAAGACAGCTTCTGCTTGTCATCTGCATCAGGGAGAAGCCCAGTAGGCAGCTAAAAGCCATCAAAGCACCTTACCTTTAGAATGAAAATCCTGCCATGGTACGGCACTTCAAAGGAACAAATTGTGTCGCCAAACTCCTGCACAAGAGGTGTTGAAGGCATGTGAATTGCATAGCTAAAGGGCAGAACAACTTCTCTGCAGCATTTCACTACTTTGTGAAAACATCTAGGATTGCATTACCTTCCCTCCCATTTTAATTCCTTTAATTGGACATAGCCTGCCCCATCCCCAGGACACCTGGCAGGAAATGCTCTGCTAAGGCTCTGCCTTATGCTCTATGTGTCCGAACAACAACGGCTTACACTGCTTCCAGAAGATGAACAGGCTCAGGCTTTGGTGAGGGTCCAAGGAAAGACTATTCCACAGGTGAGGGGGAAGCCACCAAGAACGCCTCTCTGCATGCCCTTGCAAACCTAATTTGGCACACAGATGAGGTCCTTAAGAGAGCACTCCTGGTTGATCTGAGAGGTGGTGGAGCAAAATGCAGAGGTTTGCTGCAGCTATTTAGATTGCATATGACATGTTCATAGGGCTGGAGTATTCTGAACTTGGCATTTGGTGCCAAGTGAATCCAAGTAAATTTTGCAATGTCAGTTCATTTTGTCTACATATGGTTTTCATATTTTGTTCCGGACCACTGGGATGGGAAGAAAACAGGCAACTGTACTCAAATCCTACTTTCAACTAGTGGAAATACTACCAAGCCTTTAGATTGGGCTGGAGGGAGAGTGGGGGTAACCACTGGCTACCCCTCACAAGCATTTTTGTGTCTTGTGATTTTGGGGTCTCTATTATCCACCTTCTTCCCTTCCTTTCTCCACTGAGGGGTGTAGAACAACCACTAGGAAAGGATGAGCTCATTTCCCTCAAGGGCTAAAAAAGCAAGTTCCTCAGCTTTAACCCAAAAGCCCTTTGCAGGGCCTGCCTGGAAGACAGTGCAAAAAAGACCTCAATCCCTAGATCCACACAAAGATCCATCCCTAGATGGGGCACACAAAGGGCAAGGACAGGAAACCACACAAGCCTTCCTGGCATGATGTGGAAGTCACTTTAACGCAGGGAACATAAACCATCTTTAACATGATTATTGGCTGATGCACTGGGACAGAATGAGTCACATAACCGCAGCATTATTTTGTTTGGAAAATCAAACCATGTTTTTTCTACAAGGTAATATCTCTTGTTTCATCTGGGCTGGTATCTTGAAGAGTAACTACAAAAGAACTACAAGGACTTCTCATCTCACAATGCGCTTTCCCAGTTTTGTTTTGATTCTAAAGTAAACTCATATTACACCCAGAGACACTGGAACAAGCCAATATATCCTGACAGTTCGGGAAGCTTTGTAACATCTGAGGAAAAGCTATGCATATTTTTAAATACTGTGTTACAAGACTGTGCCTTCAGGCACCAGTCATTTCAGAAATCATAAACTTACGTTGCATCTCTCAAAGGTCCAGTTCTCTTCTTGCGCTAGGATCTGATCTAACATCTCCATTGCTACTTTGCCTTGCCGAACATATTCTCTCTCCTAGGACAAAGCATGATGCTCAGTTTAGGGACCGAGAACTAGTCCCATATCTAGTGACTTTCGGTTTTCAGTGAATAACTCTTCATTTAACATAGAACAGCAGGGAGTGAAGCACTCTTGCAAACTTCCCCCTGGAAGTTTAATAGACCCCTCTCTGCAGAGTTGAAAATGGTTAAAAAAGCATGTCTATTTCTATTTACCAGACTTCTCTAAGAAAACAGTTAGGATTATTGCTCATTTATTGAAACGTTAGTCAATCATAGAGTGTTAATCTATTGAACAGAACTGCATGAATTAGCAAAAATACAGAACAATGACAAATGAAAAAGTTTACCTAAGTTTTTGGATATTATGTAGATGCACTGAAATTAGCATCAGAAAAGGCATCCCTCATATGTGGCACAGTGGTGAAAGTGGTAGACTGGGACTTGGGAGCTCCAAGGTCGAGCCCCCACTCCCCATGACGCTCACTGACTGACTCTGGACCAGTCACAGACTCTCGGCCCCATCTACTTCACCAGGTTGTGAGGAGTATCAAATGGAGAGGAGAATCATGCAAGCTGCCTTGGGTTCCTCACAAGAGGAAAAATGGCGGGATAACCCTTTAAGGTAACAATAGTAATGGACTTTCTGCAATGTGTCTGACCTTCTAAGCACCTCTGGAAAGTTTTCTCCTCATCTACCATCTCTGCTGCCCCTCATCATTTTCTCTAGTTACTGTCACTCAGAACAATGAGCAGGCACAGCTTATGCATCCATTTGTTTATGTGCAGGAAACAGACACTGTCCTCAGGTGAGTAAACCATTCAGGAATGTAGTCAAGTGCCCAAGCCATGGCAGTGTTGACTCCTCAGTCCTACAGGAGCAATAAGGGTATGTGCTGCGACTGTGGTGTACAACGAAGCTCGTTTGGGAGATTCTCAGTGACCAGCCTGGTTTGCAGAAGAATATTGCTGCCCCCCAGTGGCTAGCCAGGGGTGAAAGCCATTCACAGTTAAATGGACTTCTCCAGCTGGGCTTTAAAGATTCTGCAGTGCTCACTTCCATACACAATCTCTGATGTTACAAAGGATTTTAAAAATACTAGTTATAACCAGACAGTCGTTTCAGTGCTGCATTATGGTTAAAGAACAACAGAAACCATCGAGGTTTTTTTCCTGGAGGTGATCAGGATATTTCTGCAAATCAATCAAGTGATTACTCACTCTGTGCATGTAAATAAAATCATGGCGATGTAATTATGTCTGCAGTTCCACTGAAAGGGATTATTATTGTTGTGACATTAAATTATACTGATATCCTGCCTTTCTTCCCCTTGCGAGCAAGCCAAGGTGGCTCATAACAGTTTATCCTCCCAACTACTCTGTGTGACAGGTTAGACTGAGAGTCAGTGACTGGCCCAAAGTCACCCAGTGAGCTTTGAGGCCCAGCAGGGACTAGAACCTGGAATAGCCAAATCCCACTCTGACACTCTTAACAATCACACCATGCCAACTTTCCAATGCACTCTCATCTCTGCAGCTCTGTCCAGGCTTACCTACAATAGTGGTGACTGGAAGTGAGAACAGCCAACACATGACCCTGCAATCACAGAGAGGCCAGGTGTTCAGCCTCTTCTTCATCCTAAACCTGCCCACAAGGATGCTGCCAATGCCAGCAGGGGCGACCTTCATTTTACGGTCTCCACAGCAGGCTTCCGATAAGCAGTGCAAGGAGGATTCCGAGAATGGTTACTAGCCCCTTCCATGCAATAGCATTAAGCTAAGGGTCTCCCCCCATGATGGATACTCTCTTTGGTATTTTAGAAATCAGTCAAAATTCCATCTCTAGGTGAGGTACAGCTTAAAAAGGCAGAACAGAAGCTCACAAATATGAAAAACAGGCCAGCTGGTACAGGACTCTGTTTTAAGCTCTTTGTGCTTTTTCTGATTTTGTCATTCACTGTTTTATGCTGTCCATCCCTCTTGTTCTTGTCTCTCCTTTATCTCACTGTGCTATCATGCAGTTAGGCTTGGAACAGGTGATTCTGCACTGGATACCACTCGTTTATATCTTACTATATGGAAAATACAAAAACACAGTCTCAAATGGGACACCACAGTTGGTCCCACAAATCGAAATAAAGATAAATGCTATTTAAACAGGATGAATGTGACTTTATATAGCAAAAAAGAACTGTGGCATCTTAAAAGAGTAACAATCCAATTATGGCATGAGCTTTTGTGGACTAGCGTCCACTTCCGACAGATGAAGTTACCAAGAAGATACAGAGGCGCACGTGTGCAGTGGGGCAATCAGGAAGGCTGTGGGGCAGTGGGGCAATCAGAAACACACTGTGTGGATCACATTAACAACAGTCATTCACAAAAGCATCTGTTGGGAGAGAACATTGACAGCAACTGATTTGGTGAATGGTCACTGCTAATGGCATACCCATCGGAGTCTGTGATCAACATTTTGTTTTGTTTCCCTCTGACCTCACTGCTTATTTACAATTCCCACCCTGGACATGTGGGCACACATTTCTAACCCAGCAGAACTAACGCTTTACGCACCTGACGCAGCGCTATGCAATCCAGGAACCCTCATGTCATATGTTTTTTAAATGTTTCAAATGCCACAAGACTCCAAGTGGTTTTTGTAGAACATACTAACACGGCTACTCATCTGGAAGTTGATTATATGGCACTTTTCTTAATGGCTCCATATACTATGTATTACCTGAGTTATCCACATTCTTTAAGGAAAGGCAGTGCTGCTCCGTACTGCAGATGGAACCTGAGAATCAGAGGCTTGGCCTAAGTTGCCCCAAGGACTTCCTGGCTTATGTTATAAACTGCTATGCGATACCAGCTCTCATAAGCCATTATCACCTTCTGCTGAGCAGAGTTTGCAGTGATGACTGCAATTATTTTGATGGGCTAACTGGGCTGCCCAGGCATTTGCAGACTGTATCCTGCTAGTTGTGAATTTCAGAGTAGAATAAAGTGCTTTTTTCTATGCTAACCCCAGGTGTTGTGAGAGGTTACAACAAATCTATGCCTTCTCCAGGAAAATAGGTTTAAGGCCAAGAGATGAATTTCCAAAGGAACCACAATTTCGGAGTTCAAGGACCTGAACTTCTGTCTCCCAGATTAAGCCCTAGTGCCTTGGCCACTGATTCTGTGCATTAACGCACTAGTGATAGGAAGCATCTGCAGGTTTAAGAGATGTGCATCTATACATCATGTAGGCATTTAGACATATATCCTTCTACTCTGGCAGTAATTGGAGCTTAAAACTTTACAGGCTGGCTGGAACCAAACACAAAAGGAATTACGTTGCTGCTCAGTTCGCTCCACACATACCTCATCAGTTAACGTCCTCTTTCCCATAAGCTCTTCATCAGAGTCATCTGATCCTACAGACAGAGAAAAGGAAAATGCTTTTCTGACAATTTTAAGTGCAAGATAGGAAGCAGCAGTTCCATTTGCACAACTTAACAATCTAACTACATAAACCATCCTTAGGTAAAAGCAGGAAGTTCTAGGCATTTACTGTGTGCTCACTGGTTAGAACAAGGGTCATCAAATAGTCAGACTGGCTTTCTTTTGGGGTGCACCTGTACCTGCCCATTGCCACAGGAGGCAGCCCTCTTGATTTCTGCATGGAGTACCTGTCTGTGAATGCTGCGTGCCTGGGAGCAGGCAAGCTCAGAACAGAGATTCATGCAGAGCAACAGCCTCCTTGGCAGGGTGGATGATTCTGCAGCATCTCTATATCAGGACTGACTGAATGATCCCATCCCTCCTGTTGCAGATGCATTAACTTGTTAACTCTTTTCAGTAAGAGAGAATTTAAAGAATCTGATGATGTCCACATGGGCAGTTTTATACAGATTTTTGCAGTTCACAGCAGAGAAGCCACCATCCTGCAGCTCTCCTGGCCGATCTACTCACATTCATAAGCTGTGAGTGCAAATGTGGGAGCAGGTTCCCCATGCCCAGCCCTGGTGACTGACTGACTCTCATACACAGCTTTGCTAGTATGTCCCACAAGAAGCATCAATTACCTGCAACAGATTCTGGAGGGGAGTAAAACTGGCCATCTGAGACTGCCCCTGAATAAAGGGAGGGTCCACATGCCACAGCAGCCTGGGCTGCCAAGTACCCTGGAAAAAGAAGAGGAGGAAGTTTGACTTATTTCTCATCTTTCTCATAGGAAAGTTCAATAAAGGGCAACATTACCCAAGATGAAAAGAATCAGTCATCTCAGAAATTCTACTTCCTTTCATGAACTGGGGGCGACAGCAACTTCACTGAAGCCCAAAAGAAAGTCCAACTTGATCAGTAATTCAGACAGAAATATCAGAGAAGCTTGAACAGAGGCACAAGGATTGGTAAAAGAACAAAGTTGTCATTCGTGTGAATCTCTGGTAACTGGGAGAGAACATGAGATGCCTTGGTAACAGAATAGATAGCCCTGTTGCCTCTTGCATTCTCATTATGCTACAAACCTCAGCCTTCCTAAAAACAAGTTTCTAGCCCTTATGAACACAGAATAATGCTTAGAAATATCATCAGGATTTCATCATGCCATGAACCCATTCTGCATTTCAAGTTACCACAAGCACAGAAGCAAGGTCATAAAAATTTAACTACTGCATATAAATACACTCTATTAACTTATGATGAGCTTGGACATTTTGTTGCACAAGTCAGCCCCTTGCAGTTTAGCACAGAAAGGCAGACTTAGCTACCTCCCATGCAGGAGAGAGATAAGTTGCTTTCCTCAGTCCTTCAGCTCGAAAGAACACATTTTATCTTTGTAGAGACGCATGTCCTCCTTGCCTATCATATCTAAAAAGCAATTAATGGTCTAATGCAATAGAAAGCTTTTCTCCTCCAAGCAATCCAGAGTGCGTTCCCACTCCAACCATGGCATTAATATGTTTGTTCAGTTCTGTTATCTTTAAAATCCTTTTTTCAGAATAATAACTAAAAAGGATTCCTCCTCTAGGTAACCCACTTTTCAGTTTGTTCCCCTTATAGAAAAACATGTTCTACATGGCACCAGACTGCAGATCCTAAGAAACCCACTGTATATACAGGAGGGTGTTACCTTGACCCTCTTCAGGTTCCCTGCCTTTAGAGACCCCCCCCCCCCACAACATGTGGGGCACTGGACTAGCAAGGCTATTCATGCCAGATCTTTTTGGAGGGGCAGAGCAGGATTTGACTCAGTTCAGACATTCACACTCAATACAGACTTACATTTTTCCTCCTCAGTCTCTTGGGGTAAGACCTTAAAATCCAGAAACCATGTTTCAAGCCAGGCCAGGACAAAGGAAACGATGGGTAGAAGGTAGCCAAAGGCTCCTTTGTTTAGCAGCTGTTAGAGGGGGGAAAAAGAGGGGGGAAAGAACAGATTCAATTACATATAGGAGGTCAGTTAATATAGATTAGACACTCTTTAAATAATGTAACCACCCCTTTATACCTCCAAAGCTATGCGTAGCATTGTTTTAGTGCTGCATTTTTTAAAATCATTTGGATTGTAATTAAACTAACTAAGTTTAGGGAATTCCAAGTTTTTTGGAAGGTGACCACAAAAATGAAAGAAAGTCTGACCCCGGCCCCAGCCACTTGTTATCAGCTACTCACATCAGAGAAGATAACTTTCACTATTAAGAAGCCACTGGACACCAGTGTAGTGATCTAGAGTAGGGGAACAGTTGGAGAAGAGAAAAAAATCATGAAAATACAAAACCAGAGCCATCTCTTTAACAGATTTGATTAAACTTATCTACTAATGGTCCATGGATGAATTTCAGTTGTTGAGACCCGAGGATGTGGACAAGGTGCTTGGTTCTGTCCGATTCACAATGCGCCTTCTTGACACTTGCCCATCCTGGCTGACTGGGAGATCCGAAGGGGCTCCGCCCTGGTCCCAGGAGGCTGTCAACGCCTCACTAAGAGAGGGAGTGCTCCCTGCCCCATTAAAGGAGGCAGTAGCGAGACCACTCCAAAAAAGGCCAGGCCTGGATCCAGGGTTACTGGATAAATACCGGCCCATTGTTAATATTCTGTTTTGGGGCAAGGTGTTGGAGCAGGTGGTGGCCAGGCAGCTGCAGGCACTCTTGGAAGATATGGATTATCTGGATCCATTTCAATTGGGCTTTAGGCCTGGGTTTGGAATGGAGACGGCACTGGTCACCCTGTGTGATGACCTGTGCAAGGAGAGGAAAAGGAGGAGTGCGACCCTGTTGGGTGGCCTTCGACAACATCAACCATGGAGTCCTCCTTGACAGCTTGTCCAGGGTTGGGGTTGGAAGTACTGCTTTGTGGTGGTTCCACTCCTCCCTGGCTGGCTGGGTCCAGAAGGTAGTCCTGGGGGACAGGTGCTCTGTGGTACCACAGGGCTCAGTGCCGTCCCCCATGTTCTTGAACATCTATATGAAGCCACTGGGAGAGGTCCTTTGGAGGTTTGGGCTGAAGACTCAGCAATATGCTGATGATACTCTGCTCTTCCTCTCTTTTACATCTCACCCAGGTGAGGCTGTCGCTGTCCTGAACCAGGGTCTGAGCTTGATAATGGACTGGATGAGGGTCCATAAACTGAGGCTCAATCCTGACAAGATGGAGGTGCTGCTTGCAGTGGTGGTCATCTGACAAGTTAGAGGGGCATTGCCCTGTCTTTGATGGGGTTGCACTCCCCCTAAGGGACAGGGTCTGCAGTCTGGGGGTGCTCCTGGACCTGGGTTTTTCCCTGGAATATCAGGTGATCTTGGTGTCTAGGGGTGCTTTCCTCCAGCTTCGTCCCTACCTGGACAGACAGAGCCTGAAAACAGTCACCGTGCACTGGTAACATCCAAAACAGATTATTACAATGCATTGTATGTGGGGCTGCTCTTGAAGATGGTCTGGCAATTACAACTGGTACAGAATAGGGCTCCTCATTTGGTGATGGGAGCCCCTAGAGTGGCCCACCTAACACCTAAAGATCTCCACTGGTTACCAGTTGTGGCCCAGGCCCAATTCAAGGTGCTTGTGCTGACATATAAAGCCCTAAACAGCTTAGGCCCTGGTTATCTTAAGGAGCACCTGCAATCATATTTGCCTACCCAACCTTTGAGATCTACGCAGGGGGCCCTCCTGTGAGCCATCCCTTAGTGAGGTGAGAGGGAAGGCTGCTAGGAGGAGGGCCTTTTCTGCAGCTGCTCCCTGTATCTGGAATGCTCTCCCCAAGGAGATTCGTCTGGCGCCTTCCTTATATTCTTTTAAGCACTAGACAAAGACCTTCCTTTAAAAAAAAACATTTTAATAGTTAATGCAAGTTGACCTTTGCTTTGTATTTTTGCCTGTATTTTATTGATATTCTATGTTTAATATGTTGCGGTTTTTTTTAATTGTGTTTTATCTTGTGATTGTGAGCTGCCCTAGTGTGTAGCGTACAAATGTTATGAATGAATGAATGAATGAATGATAAATTTTAGCTTCTTACCGCTATAACCCACCAGTGGCGGAGCCTAAGAACAGCATATCCAAGGAGCAGCACTGAGAACCGGAAAAAGGCTAATAACTTATAAAAAGGAACACACAAGATATTTATAAACAGGCAATAATGAAGTTCTCATAGACAGAAATACACTAAAATTATGCATGAATCAACTAGACTGGCACAAGAGCATCCACGTTTTGAGTTTCTCAGGACCTTTAGTCAGGTAGAGACTGAATTCTGCGCAGCGCAGGTGCTTGCATTCTTTTATGCGTAGCTGCACTGATTTCATTCCCACCACCAAAAAAGGTTTTCTCCTAGCTATTATAGCAAGTTACTTTTCAGCAGAAAACTTACGAATATGTCAAAAAAGGATGTTTGAAAACTGTAGCTGATAATTTCTTCCTTTAAATTGTCCTGGATACCTTTCCCAATCTGTAGGTAAGCAAGAGACAGATAAAATAATTAAGACATAGCAAGGGTTTGGTTACTAAACAAAGGCTAAAGGCTTGCTTGGGACTTTGCAATGGAGTATGTCAAACGGTGACCCAGAGGGATCAGTGAAGCCTCCTCCTATTCTATCCCCTTCTCCTAGGCCAGACTTTCCCAGTGCCCTCCAAATGTGCTGAACTACTACTCCCATCCGTCTCAGCCAGCATGGTCAATCCAGTCGGGAAACACTGGACAAGGGCAAAGGTGGACAGCACCTGAGGGGTGAAGCAGAAGAAGTGGGACTTCACAGGTGCCCATGCAAAATTACAGCAGCCAAAAAGGAGGCATTCGACACGTGGAGTAAGTGTGCTTATTCCAAGCAAGCTCTAGAGCAGCGCTAGATATATGTGCAGTTCCCTATCAAAGAAGCAGTGGTTTGCAGGCCGTGCAAGGTGAACCTTCCTTTGGAAAAACCCTTGGCATGTGTTGCTGTGTCTGGGCTTGTCGCACCACAGGGATGGCAAATACTGTCGTGAGCGCTGGTGTATGATTTCATCTGCTGGGTACTGTAAATGGCAGGATGGAATGAAGTTGCAGAGGCGTTCTGCCTTCATAATACAAGGGGTAGCTCCTTCCATTCTTGGCTACGCCGTGGTCTTGGCTGGCCTGCTTATGAGAGCCAAGAGTATTGTCATGTTTGAGTTTAGGAAGGAATCTTCTTTGTCTAGGGTCAGATTAGCCCCTCCCTGTAGTGCGTAGGCTGGGTCATTCACGCGAGTCATCCACTCTCCTGCCACCTGTCTGTACTTTGTAAGGTGAAGTCCAGCACTAAAATGACTCTAGGAAATGAGTCACTGTTGATGTGGGTTTAATGGCTTCCTGGGATTAACAGCTTCCTAACACAGTCTGCTCTACATGGTTGAGGCTGAAATGAAATGATAGTAAGACAAAGAACAGCCAATAAAGCAAGAGTTTTTCCACTTCTCTGCTGACCTAAGTTGAGCAAAAAGGCCAACAAGGACTGGTAACTGGCAGACTCTGTGTGCGTGTTGCTGATGGCCGGCAGGAGATGGGGATCCACAGTAGCATCACCCTGTCTAAGACTCTGCTCAGGAAGCAGTCCTCTGTAGGCATGTCTGGGGTCTGTGCTGCACTTAATTGCTACCTTGCTTGTTTTGGCAATCCTGAGGCAAGCAGACAGCCCTATGCACAGAGAACAGTTCCCCAACTCACGTTCAGTTCAATTATCCAGAGGAGTGAGATGAAGAGAAGGTCGAAGGTCACAAAGAGGCAGAACGTCCGCCGCACATCCGAAATGACTCTCCTCCTCTCCCGTAAGTAACAGAGGGTGGACAAGCCCTGACTGTGCGAAAGTGAGGAAGCAATGGCAGGAAGGCTCTGTTCCAGGTCACTGTTGTGGAAGCCCCACAGCTTGCTCATTCTCAGAGAGAATGGTGGAATGGCTGGCCCTTGTGTCCCAGTGTGTCATCCGTGACCTTGTTAATGACGCATCTGTTTGGGATTGTGGGAGGGGGAAAACAAAGAATGAGAACAGAGCTAAAATCTTCTAGACATTTACAACTATTCTTCCCTCTAGGGAGGCTGAAGGCAGCATATATGAAGGATATACTATTTTATCCCCTAAAGCCACAAGAAATAGAGCAGGCTAATACAGATACAGGGAACATATGGTCTTACAGTCATTGCTGGGCTGCAGTGATGAGAAACTATGTGTCACCCTTCTCCTACTGCTGCAATTGTAAGAGGCATCCCATCTGTTTTGGTATGCCCCAAACCCAGTGCAATCTATTTAGGGAAGACCAGCATTTAGTACAAGTCATCAAATAGACGTGATCATATAGCGAGATCAGGGAAGTCAAATCCACCCTCTTTACTCAAAAGTTATACCCATTAAAAATATTTGTAGTGCAGTGAGTCCCACAGGATTTAATGGAATAAAGCATTAAGCTTTTAAAGCTATTTGCAGGATAGAAATAGAGGAATACCCCATAAAACACAGACATTTACATTTATTTTACATTATATTTTATTTATTTTCAGTGTATTTACCCTCCCTCCGTAAGATGTCCAACTATCAATCAGGGATGTGCAAGGAATCCGTTTCATGCGGAAAATCCACCAGATTCCCTGGTTTTGGCTTCCCAGACTTCAGTCTATTTTGCAATAGCCCAGGGTCCAAGTCCCTAGTGAGCACACCCGGGGTCACAGGAATTGTCCCATGCACTATACAATCAGCACTCTTCTTCCACACCCACTGGTGGCAGTAGCAGACACGGAAGAAGGCTGGACTGTGAGAATGGAGGCTGGGGAAGGTTGTGGGCTTCATGATCATTTCTGAACACTCTCTTAGTTTGACAGGTCCAGGCTGAGCATGAGAAGAAGGCCTTGGATTCTGGAGGGACAGATTCCGGAAGGGTTCATCCCAACCCTACTCTCAACTCAAAAACCTCATTAATCAGCTTAGTTAAATTTATCTTCATCATCTGGGACATATCACCAGGGACAAGTATTTCCAAAATACATAAAAAACTCAGGGCAAAGTCTGAATTGCCAGTTAACTAGCACATTATGGGGTATAGCATCTTCAATAGATATCAGTTCAAACTCTGACTACTTAATACAGTATTTTTTTATTTATTAGATTTCTAACCTGCCCCCTTAGCCATCCAGCTCCCTGAGTAGGTTACAACAACAAAAATACAATATAAAATACACTATAAAACAGTGATTACAAATAATAAGCCAGATAAACACCCAAAATTATTAATCATTTGCATAATAGATAAGGACTGTAATAGATGTGTGGAGTTCCAAGATAAACAGTAGAAGATCATCTGCATAAAGAGAAGTTTTAAATTCTATATCATTACGTATCCATGAGCGTTAACATTTTGTTGGCTACCGCATGCCGGGGTTCCAAACATATATAAAATATCAGTGGAGATACATGCTATTTTCCCCTTTTTCCACTGTTATAATTTGAGTTTTGGCTTTGAAATTCACAATAAAAATAAGTAATGGTAATGACTGGTGTCTGAATGTTTAAATGGTTGTATATACAAAGTAGTTTAGGTTCTTAAAGCAAGGGAGAAAGGACCTGTGTAAGAGGTTCTATAGCAAAACTGAGTGCAAAGAGCTCACTCCGATTGTTGCTTTGCCTTTATTTTCTTCTGGATAACAGCTGAGCCATATACCATCCAAGAAAGAGCAAACAAAGGGGAAGGAGAATGACACCAAGGACTTCAGCAAGATCTTGAACACCATACATGGGTAAGGCTTTGGGAGGGCCACCAGCTGCACAGAAATACTGAGAGCCCGTCATACTTTCAGATGCGTCACGTTTCACCTTTGTTCCACAGACACTTGGGGTGAATTAAAAGCAAGTATGAAAATGCTGGCCTACTGCACCCTAGCTTCTGTTATTTGAAGCCCAGATGGGAGTTGAGAGTATTGCGTCCCACTTCCCATTAGCTGCAACTGTTGTATCAGATGGTGATTCACAAACTTGGAAAGAACCAAAGGTCATCTAATCCAACTCCCTGCCCAAAGGCAGCAGGGCTGGAAGAAGTATTTGCAATAACTAGACACCAACAGCCGATAACACAGGTGGCCAAACAAGCCCCCTCCCTATTTCTAGCAGCTCTGGACAAGTCCTGCCGCCCACTCTTCCCAGACCAAATTGTGAAATTCAAACCAAAGGGTTTCAAAACCAAAAAGTGATCCTTATTTCATCTTCCTGAAGCCCCTCTCTGTGGCAATAATAGAGAGGCAAGGATTTCAGCGCTGTGACTACAAGTTTCCAAAAAGCATTTCACCTCTGGAAAACTAGTCTCCCTAATTTAGAATATGCAAATACATACTTGCATTTCTAAGTGGTGGCTTTTGCCTGTGGAACACATGCCAGCAGCATTTGGGAGAGGATTAGACCCTCCTTCTGGGTGTTTTCCAAGGAAAAGCCACAGTTTATACGTGAGTGCCCTTTCAGAATGGATGCTGTGCATATGCATATCATTCTTGAATTGGTTCCCAAGCAACACACAAGTAGCTCCATGGTAGCATGACTTTCAAGTCACTAAGCTTCATCTGATGGAGGAAAACGTCAGATCACATAACCCAGTACGAACTGGAGCTGTACTTCCTACAGGAGACCAGAGGCCAAAGCATTTCAAACTGAAGTTCAGCCATCTGTGGTTCCTGAATAATACATACTAGCGTCGCTACCCATCCCCTTGCTCAACGCACAAGTTCAAATGTCACCTAAGCAGCTGCCAGATTATCTTTTAGTAAAATTAATCATTATTTCTCCCCTTCTGAGTACGTAAGAGCTTCTTTGGTTCAAAGGCACAAGAATGGGGATCTTTTATAAGAGGCACTAGGTATTCACAAAGAGGAGACAACATGGGCTTATGCATTTTGGTCACCCAAGTTGGGGCTTTCAAGCTCAAGCACCAGATTCAACAAATCAGAAACATTTTTGTATTATTTGTATTACAGATGAATCACAGAGCAAGAGCAAGGGCAACAAAGCTCTCAAAATTTCCTGTAGCACAATACAGATTCCAAAGCAAAATAAAATGGTTGCTATTTCTAAACCAAGTTCAGCTGAGAAAATGGCCCTTTTTGTCTTCAGACTGTATCTCTTCATTTGTCCAGCTGTGCCACTTCAAGCCCTTTTAGTAGCTGCTGCTACCATGAATTGTACCCAGAAGGCATCTGGTAATCAGTGCAGGCCTTTCAAAATAGGTGCAGTATGGTCCCAATACTGTGTACAGAAATATTAATCTGCTTTCCTATTTCCCGTAATGAGAATCTCATATCAGGATTCTTTTTTGCTGTCCCGCATATCATCGGCCAAAGAAATGACATGCAAAATGGGACACATTTGCAAAAGGCCTGCTGGCTGCCTCAAGCATGTGAATCTGAACGGTGATCCTCTCTCTCTCTAACACACACACACACACACACACACACACACACACACACGAGTCATAGTGGCCTACTTCTGAGATGCTAAACATATATTTGGACTGTGCCACTTTTAGAGTGCAGGTGGAGACTCAAATGACTGAAAGTTCTACCATACCAAAATAATGGGGAGGCTTCTAATTAGCTCAATAATGGGGAGGCTTCTAGTGCAACTTAATCTTAATTTTCTAAGTGCAGGAAAAACACTGCGCTAAGATGGGCAGAGTCTAGACATGGTTTTACCACTTCAGTGAAAGCTAGGACTTTGTGTAGGCCTGGAACCTAAACATTTTAATTATTGGACCAAATGGTGTGGTCCTTGCCTCTCCAATCTGATATAACACCATTATTTTGACTACCACCCTATTTTCCCTGACCATCAACCATGCTGGCTGGGGCTGATGGGGAGCACCTAGAGTTGGGAAGATAACCTGGATGTTTAGGTAGTTCTGTAGGTTAAACACAGCCATGTTAGTAGTTTGACTGGATTAAAAAAAGACCCAACTAAGTGAACAATAACTGTAACAAAGCAGCCCTTTGGAGCATTTCAGTTTCTGATGTGCTTGATTGAAAAAGTAACAGAGACTCTGAAATGCCTTGTAAACAGTCAACTCCTAGCAGAACTACCAGTCAGAATAACTCAAGAGAATGGCCATATACAACTCTGAATACCAACTCTTGGCAACAGAAGGCCAACACCTTTATGCCTGGTTCATGAACTCCTACAGACATCTGGGCGGCAAACAGTCTCCTCACATTCCTAAACCAGCTTCTTCCATCCTGCTTCACAGTGAGTGTGTTTAAACCCCAGTATCCACATCAGAGGTTTCGTAATCACTTTTGCTCTGCAGTATCAGCATAGCTAGGGTAAGGGACAGATGGGAAATCTCTGGGAGCCAGACTTGGTCCACAAGCCAAAGGTGTCATATTCCTGGACTTCTGGTCCAGTAAGGCAGTTGCATTCCTAGAATTGGAGGTCTTGGCTCACTTAAAAAACACCCTCTGGAGCCTCTGCTAACAAGAACAGCTGCTCCCTAAACATTTTGTTGAATTCACTAATTGGGATTTCTTGGCCCTGCCTTTTATTCCTCTACCTGAGTCCTTGCATATTGCTGCTTAGATGAAAATCCAATCATTTTAGATTATACTTTATAGGTAATGTTTATAGATTCCAGTTAATAAAACATGAACAGATTGTTATCTTTAGTCAACAGGGTTGCTAGAAGTCCCAGTTCCATGGCTGATGAAAACTGATTTTTTTTCTTCTCAAAATATGAGGGGCACCCTGGTTGCTGTTAACCCAAGACAGAATTGAGTCAAGACTTGGGTAACCACATGCAAATTAAAATGAGCTTTTGTTCAGTGAAGTAAAATTAATAAATCAAGTATCTTTGTGAAGCAGCGTATTATGTCTCAAGCCTCTACCTTGTATTAGAATAATGCCACTGACGGAGCTTGCAGGCAGGTAGGCAGAAACTTATCAAAGGCTGATTCACACAGATGGCAGCACTGGTGAATTTTGTGCA